TTTTTATATGAGACACTGCTGCTTTAAATGATGGCCGTCCTACTGTTAGTGTCATGTTGTTTAGTCCTGGTTTAGTCCTGGTTTTAGTCCTGATTTAGACCTAGTTTAGTCCTGGTTTAGTCCTGGTTTAGACCTGATTTAGTCCTGGTTTGGTCCTGGTTTAGTTCTGGTTTAGACCTGATTTAGATCTGGTTTAGTCCTGGTTTAGATCTGGTTTTAGTTCTGGTTTTGGTCCTGGTTTAGTCCTGGTTTTGGTCCTGGTTTAGACCTGGTTTAGTCCTGGTTTAGACCTGGTTTAGTCCTGGTTTAGTCCTGGTTTTAGTTCTGGTTTTGGTCCTGGTTTAAACTCGGTTTAGTCCTTGTTTTGGTCCTGGTTTAGTCCTGGTTTTGGTCCTGGTTTAGACCTGGTTTAGTCCTGGTTTAGACCTGGTTTAGTCCTGGTTTAGTCCTGATTTAGACCTGGTTTAGTCCTGGTTTTAGTCCTGGTTTTGGTCCTGGTTTAGACCTGGTTTAGTTCTGATTTTAGACCTGGTTTAGTCCTAGTTTAGTCCTGATTTAGACCTGGTTTAGACCTGGTTTAGACCTGGTTTTAGTTCTGGTTTTGGTCCTGGTTTTGGTCCTGATTTAGACCTGGTTTAGTCCTGTTTTAGTTCTGGTTTAGTTCTGGTTTAGTCCTGGTTTAATCCTGATTTTAGACCTGGTATAGTCCTGGTTTAGTCCTGATTTAGACCTGGTTTAGTCCTGTTTTAGTTCTGGTTTAGTTCTGGTTTAGTCCTGGTTTAATCCTGATTTTAGACCTGGTTTAGTCCTAGTTTAGTCCTGATTTAGACCTGGTTTAGACCTGGTTTTAGTTCTGGTTTTGGTCCTGATTTAGACCTGGTTTAGTCCTGTTTTAGTTCTGGTTTAGTTCTGGTTTAGTCCTGGTTTAATCCTGATTTTAGACCTGGTTTAGTCCTGGTTTAGTCCTGATTTAGACCTGTTTTAGTCCTGTTTTAGTTCTGGTTTAGTTCTGGTTTAGTCCTGGTTTAATCCTGATTTTAGACCTGGTTTAGTCCTGCTTTAGCCCAAAATGTGAAAACAGTAAAATCCCTCTGTTTAATCCATTTATTTCAACAAAGTAACTGTAATCCAATTACCACTCACTGAAACAGTAACTGTAACTGAATACAGTTACTCATCATTTGTACTCTGATTACATAACTCCAGTACATGTAATCTGTTACTCCTCAACACTGAGTATGACATTTAACAGCTCTACTTTACATTTAAATCAAGATACAGGTAGTTTTATCGCTCGAAAATACTTAAAAAACGGCATCCTGACTTGGTCCGGTTTGGTCTCCGTGAAGATCGAGAGTTTTAATGCTGCACTACGAAACATTCCGGACAAAGCAATAACATTTCCACGGAGAAAAGCGTTTGGCGGAGCTCTAATGAGAACTAAACCAGGACCATAACAACCATAACTAACCAGAATCAAAGCAGAATTACACCGGGACCGAACCAGGTGCCACGTTTCTCCACATTTTCATCGTAAAAACCTGGGTTCTCCGAAACGGCTCAGTTGTCGTGACTTTTTTTTTCCTTTTTGTGAAACGCTTTGTCCTTGTGGTCCGTTGCCATTGGCTCCTCTCCAGCCGAACAAAGGGCTTCTGAGAGGTGCCTGGCTCCGCTCCACATTCATCAGACGCTCCCCCTTTACTGAGCAACACCGCAGCCTGACGTGGAGCCAATTCTCCAACATGCTTCGTCCCGGAATCAAAGCGCGGCAAAGCGGGGGAAACGGGACGCGCGCACAAACGTTCATTTGTCTCCGCGACGGCTCCTGCTGCTGTTTGGATTCCAGCCCTGTGACATTAGGACATGATGAGACTTTGGTTTTAATGAGAAGCTCCGAAATGACGCTTCTTAAAGTTGCACCGTGTCGATTTTTGCTCCAAAAAAATCGATGAAACTCAGGCCACGTTTATATTAGGGCTGGTATCATTAAGAAGTTACCGATACGATACATACCTCGATACGCGGGCCACGATACGATACATACTCGATACGCGATACGATACACGATACACAGGCCATGATACGATACATACCTCGATACACAGGCCACGATACCGATCGATACATACGATAGGCACGATACGATACCACGATACGATACATACCTCGATACACAGGCCACGATACGATACACAGGCCATGATAATACATACGATACACAGGCACGATACGATACATACCTCGATACACACACGGCCCGATACGATACATACCTCGATACACGATACACGGGCCACGATACGATACATACCTCGATACACCGATACGATACTCGATACACACACACGATACACGATACATACGATACGATACATACGATACACCACGCCACGATACGATACATACCTCGATACACAGGCCACGATACGATACATACCTCGATACACAGGCCACGATACACGATACGATACATACGATAGGCCACGATACGATACATACCTCGATACAGGGCCACGATACGATACATACATACGATACACGGGCCACGATACGATACATACCTCGATACACAGGCCACGATACGATACATACTCGATACACAGGCCACGATACGATACACCTCGATACACAGGCCGATACGATACGATACACACCTCGATACACAGGCCACGATACGATACATACCTCGATACACAGGCCACGATACGATACATACCTCGATACACACACGATACGATACACACACGATACATATCTCGATACAGGCCACGATACGATACATACGATACATACCTCGATACACAGGCCACGATACATACACACTCGATACACAGGCCACGATACGATACATACCTCGATACACAGGCCACGATACGATACATACCTCGATACACAGGCCACGATACGATACATACCTCGATACACAGGCCACGATACGATACATACCTCGATACACGGGCCACGATACGATACATACCTCGATACACAGGCCACGATACGATACATACCTCGATATACAGGCACGATACGATACATACTCGATACACAGGCCACGATACGATACATACCTCGATACAGGCCACGATACGATACGATACATACCTCGATACACAGGCCACGATACGATACATACCTCGATACACAGGCCACGATACGATACATACTTCGATACACGGGCCATGATATGATACATACCTCGATACACGGGCCATGATACGATACATACCTCGATACACAGGCCACGATACGATACATATCTCGATACACAGGGCACGATACGATACATACCTCGATACACAGGCCACGATACGATACATATCTCGATACACAGGCCACGATACGATACATACCTCGATACACAGGCCACGATACGATACATACCTCGATACACAGGCCACGATACGATACATACCTCGATACACAGGCCATGATACTATACATACCTCGATACACAGGCCACGATACGATACATATCTCGATACACAGGCCACGATACGATACATACCTCGATACACAGGCCACGATACGATACATACCTCGATACACAGGCCACGATACGATACATATCTCGATACACGGCCACGATACGATACATACCTCGATACACAGGCCACGATACGATACATACCTCGATACACAGGCCACGATACGATACATACCTCGATACACAGGCAACGATACGATACATGCCTCGATACAGTGCATTTTCGATTCGATATGATATATTTCAAAGCGATTGGATACGGTTCAATAAAAAATAAAGGTTAAATCGTGTCTGTGACACTAAAAGTCTTTGTTAAACCACTTCTTCTTGTGCAAAGTTCATATGAAACACAAATATTTTAATTGTCAAAACAGTGAAAATGTCAAATGTTTCGCATAAATGAGTTTCCTTTCACTCCACAAGCCACAAAACTGTAGCTCTGTAACAAAATAATTTAGTAAAACACACGTAAAAATACTCTTGGTGATATATCGATACAGCAGCCCACGATATCGATACTGTATCATCACATTAAACCATACGATATATCGATATTCCGATATTTTTGCACACCCCTAGTTTATATGATGAGGGTCTGAACAGAAGATGCAAAAGTGTCGTTGCATCTTCATTTTTTATTCCGTGTTTAGACGAGTGTTTTCAGGAGGAAATCTGACGCAAAATTCGATTGGGTTTTGCATGTCGGTTTCTGTGTCCTTCTTATGTGACATAAACACGTACGTGACGTGAGAAGATCTGACCAGAGTTTTGGAAACGCTACGGCAGAGTGTGTTCAACTTTTCCACTCTGGAGGTTTTTTCAGATTTTTGCATTTTTAAGACCCAAAAACGCCGTCACCGTCTAAGCCAGGGGTGTCAAACATACGGCCCGGGGGCCAGATCCGGCCCTCCAAGACCTTTAATCTGGCCCTCAGCTGATTTTCTACTAAAATATTTTAATGATATTTTCTATTAAAATGTTGTTAATTTTCTGTGGTGTTTATCACAGCAGCGTCTCCAGCGTCTCTGTACGTGGCCCCTCCCACCAGAGCAGCACAAATGAAGACTTGTCTCTTTCCAAACGCTCTTAAAGGACGATCGTTTTGACTGTTGACCGTGACACCCTCATCAGAAAAATGTCCAACATGAGAAAAGTGGAGCCGAGTGCAGGATTTTACAACAAAAATGGACTTATTCCTGTTTACAGACAAGTTCATGTTCAAACTTTGTGTTTAAATTGTGTTTTCCTTAAAGTTTCAGGTTGTTCATAATATTATAATATTTTGTAAAAGAAAGAGTTCATCAATTCAAAAAAGATTTCTGTAATAGATTTGTGTTTCTCTGCACAAATATTTGAACTTATTGTTATTTTTGGGGTTTATATGACATGAGTTTTCTGATCCAGACACTTTGGATCAAAGTCGGTTGGACACGACCCCCGGAACAAAATGAGTTTGACTCTCCTGATCTAAATGAAATACACTTCCCATCAAATATTTTGTGGTTTTTACCTGCAGGTGTTCTCGTGTAAACAGACTCTCAGCGTTGTACCTGAACACGTTCATATTTTGGGAGAATGTGAACTGTGAGCGTGTTCATTCTGTGTCTGTGAACAACATGCTCTTCTATTTGACTCGGGTTCCAGATTTCTTTAGTGTCCCAGAGGAAAACCTGGCTAAGCAGGCGGTAAAGACCCACAGTATTTAACGGAAAAACATTCAATCTGGCAACACGAGCCACCAGCGTCGCATCGAAACAAAACAAAACAAAAAAGAATATAGAGGATCAGACAGTTTGTTATGAAGGTGAAATCTAACACAGTTTCATTGTTAAAACTGATTAAATATTTGCTGTCTGTGTTTCTGTTTGGGCTTTGGCAGTGACATTGAAAAATAATCGCTCGCAGCAACATACTGAAAAAAACCCAAAACAATGAGCTATTAACTATAAAAAAATAAATTATTAACTATGTACGAATTAGTTCAATTTGAAATGTGTAAACTGAGCTTTGAACTAGTGGAAAATGAACTTTCCCAACACTGATGAAACTGATTACAGAAACAAAATTTGAGTAAAAAAATGTTTTTACAGACCTTGGGTCTGATCTTGCCCCGATCTCGTGTGCCGAGCCTGAATATCAGGAGGAGAGGAGCAGGCTGAGGGCAGGTGGTGCCAGAATCATAAAAAAAAATAAAAAAAATCAATAAATAAATAAATAACGAGTCCACTGAAAAAAACATCTAACATGCAAAAATTTGGATAATTCCACGCCTATTACCAGCATAAATGTGTAATTTTGAAGCCCAACTTTGTGCACTAATAAATGCAGAATAGTTTATGTTTTATAGGCATCAAACTGTACCTCAAGGCTCGCCCTCTTTCTTATAATCGTCTCAATTTCTTGCAGCTGCTAAAATGAGTAATTCCGTGGCATTTTTGTTTTGGTAAAGGAGCTCACAGGAGGAGAAAGTCTGCAGACGCCTGGTCTAGTATCTTCTGATTCCTGATCGAGTCACTGGAAAGAAATGAAACTGAGCGGAGGGACTAGGTGGCGCCAGCCTGACTAACTAACAACCAGAAATAATAAATAAGGAGCACTGTCGATTTTTAAGTGCGTCTTGTAGTCTGAAAAATACGGTAATTGAAAATATTACTTTAATTAATATAAAATACTTAACGACCCTTTCCTGTTTACGTGACTTAAACTGTGATGCCAGACAGAACCAGGACTAAAACAGGACTAAAACAGGACTAAACCGTTTTCAGTCCTGGTCTGGTCCCGGTCTCAGTCCCGGTCTCAGTCCCGGCCTCAGTCCTGGCCTCAGTCCTGGCTTCAGTCCCCGTTTCTGGTCCCGGTTTGGACCCATTTTCAGTCCCGGTCTCACTCTAAGTCTCACTCCCGGTCTCACTCCTGGTCTCACTCCCGGTCTCACTCCTGGTCTGAGTTCCGGTCTCAGTCCCGGTCTCAATCACAGTCTCAATCACAGTCTCAATCACGGTCTCAGTCCCGGTCTCAGTCCCGGTCTCAGTCCCGGTCTCAGTCCCGGTCTCAGTCCCGGTCTCACTCCCGGTCTCACTCCCGGTCTCACTCCCGGTCTCAGTCCCGGTCTCAGTCCCGGTCTCATCCGGTCTCAATCACGGTCTCAGTCCCGGTCTCAGTCCCGGTCTCAGTCCCGGTCTCACTCACCCGGTCTCAGTCCCGGTCTCACTCCCGGTCTCAGTCCCGGTCTCACTCCCGGTCTCAGTCACGGTCTCAGTCACGGTCTCAGTCCCGGTCTCAGTCCCCGTTTCTGGTCCTGGTCTGGTCCCGGTCTGGTCCCATTCTCAGTCCCGGTCTCAGTCCCGGTCCTGTTCCCGGTATCAGTCCTGGTCTGGTCTGGTCCCAGACTTAGTCCCGGTCTGATTCCTGGTCTAAATCCTGGTCTCAGTTCCGGTCTGGTCCTGGTTCAGTCCATCATCCATTGTTTTTCCATTTTTCATTTAAACACAAAATCGAGAAGTGAAAAAACAAATCATTAATTGTTTTTTTTTTTTCATTTTGGTTTTGGAGACAAATAATGAAGAAAAATCATTTTTTCATTTTCTTATTTTTGGTTTTATTTTGAAAAACGAATGAACGAATGATCCACCAGAAAAGTTAAACAATGAACCTTTAATATCCAAACCCCGTCGTTTCTCTTGTGTGTTTATCTCCAAACAGAACCAATGTCAAGGTTCAGAAGTGGTTTTAAAACTTTAATTATACGTTATATAAAGCGTTTAAAATAACTGTGTATCTCGGTTTTCTCCTCCTAACCCCGTGTGATGTGAAAGTCAAACTGCCGGGTTTGTGTGGAATAAAAGGCTCAGAGTCGGAGAGTCTCCCTCTGACTTTTGTATTCAAACTCTAAAGCCCCTGCGGGATCTTCGGGTTTGTTGTCTAAACTCCGGCTCGAACCTTGGCCTCGGTAAATGTCGGAAGAATCTCAGAAAATCAACAGAGCAACAAGAAAATCACTTTTATTTTTAACTCGTTCG